AAGCCATGGCAAGCAGGACCAGAAGGCAACTTTGTGGAGTCAGTTCTCTTCGTCTACCTTTTTGTGGGTTCTGGGGCTAGAACTCAGGTCACCTGGCTGTGTAACAAATGCCTTTACTTGCTAAGTCATCTTATCAGCCTGAGTCACTCTTTTGAAAATAGTGTTCTGTTTTGTAAATGTGATATATATCTAACTAGGGTCCTAACAAAGGGTTTTCTAATAGCCTCTATTCTTTATTTATTGTTGTTATAAACAATGCCACAGTAGCTATCTGTGTCTAGATAAATATGTTTATAGTATAGATAATATGTATCTAAAAATAAATTATATTTAGTATGCATGATAAATCCCTAGTCTAAGTCAATGAGCCATTAGTGTGTGTTCATGTGTCATGTGTATATGCACATGTATATTGGTGCACATGTATGCATATGTGTATAAAGACCAGAGGTCAATATTGGATGTCTTCCTCCGTCACTCTCCACTTTATTTTTTCTTTTATTATTGTGTCTATTTATTTATGTATATGTGCATGCGCACATGCAAAGATCAGAGGACAACCTGTGGAAATCAGTTCTCTCCCACTTTGTGAACTCTAAGAACCAAACTCAGGTTATCAGCCTTGGCAGCAAGTGCTTTTACCCACTGAGCCATCTCAACAGCCATCTACCTTTGTTTTGAGACGGGCTCTCACCAAACCTAGAGCTCACTAATCCACTAGGCTTGCTGTTCATAAGGCCCCAGGGACCCTCCTGTCTCTGTCTCCCTGGCACTGAGACTACAGATGCATGCCACCATGCCCAACTTTTTACATGGCAAGTGTTAGGGATCCAAACTCGGGTCCTCAGGCTTATATAGCAAGTTCTTTACCAATTGAGCATTTCTCTAGCTCTGAACCAGTACTTTTGAAATACTGAAGATACTACTAAGACTTCCCATTCCACTGACAAAGATAGAAGGGACCTTCTCCCTCCCTACACACACACACACACACACACACACTAACCTCATAGGAATTTGTAGCAAGGTCTCCAGGGACTCCATCAGTGAGTGACTCTCCTCTGAGTCATACTCAACAGCATCAACCAAAAATCTGAGTTCTCTTCCCAAATCAAATGGAATAAAAACAAGAGATTGCTTGTTTTAAAAGTATTGTCTAAGTCAACCTGGTATTTAGGGACGATGCACCCAAGCAAAGGGAGAAGGTTCCCCCTCAAAGAAACTGCATCCTATGAATAATGAGGACAGAGTCACTGAGAAGTGGGCAGGTCACATCTGCAAGGGCAATGGAGAGGAGCTGAGGTCCAGCCTGTATCCAAAACCCACCAAAGAGGCATCATTTTATGAGAATCCACCCAGAGGAGCTGTCGCCTTCTACTTTTGCTGAAGGTGCTGTAGACAGATAAAGGTGCTTTCCTAAAATTTTGGATTTGTGAAAGCTTCAAATGCCAGGATGGGGAGATAGCTCAGTCAGTAGAATTCAATCACCAGAATCCACCTTTTTGGGGGGCGGGTTTGAGACAGGGTCTCCCTATAGCCCCAGCTAGCCTGGCACTCACTATGTAGACCAGGCTGGCCTTGAACTCCCAGAGATCTGCCTGCCTCTGCCTCTGGGATTAAAAGCATGTGCCACCATGCCTGGTTTAGGATCCACATTTTTAAAAAGAAAAAAGAAAAAAAAGCTGGATGTGATTGTACGCACTTTAATCCAATACTGAAGAGGCAGAGACAGTGTCTCTGGGGCTCCCTGGGAAGTCAGACTAGCTGAACATGTGAGCGCCAAGCCAAGGAGAGACCCCATCTCATAAAGCGATGTGGCTGACTGCTGAGGAATGATACCCAAGGCTGACCTCTGGCTTCTATACACATGAACACCTACATACACTCTCATTTCTCTCTCTCCCTCCCTCTCTCCCTCCCTCTCTCCCTCCCCCCAGCCCCCCTGGCTGAGTCACCTTGCAAAGAACGTGGCATATACACTGACGGTGTTATTTCACCCCAGCCACTTCCAGATCCTGGGCTAAGAGACCTGTCATCCCAGGGCTGAGGTACTCGGAGCATCTTTACTCTCTACCTACAGGAGTGTCTTGAGCACCAGGCTGGAACTGGTGGTGCTGACTCAGAACAGGATGGGAAGTGACCAGCATTTGGCCAAAGGCTTGGGGGTTTGGGGTTTGGTTTCTTGGGCTTTATAGTAGATCTGATTACCCAAAGTAGGGACAAGTTGCTCTGAGAAGGGGCTGTACCTTTAAAAGTTCCTGATTCCCAACCTAGGCTATTTACTGTGTCTCAGTACCTGAGTCGTGGCCTCCCAAGGGATCTAGGCTGCAGCCACCTGGAGACAGGACTCTCCTGAAGGCCTATGTTCTCAGAAGCATGGCTCATCTCTCTACAACAGGCCCTGGCTCAGAATTTTGAACATCTCTAGTGCTGGACCTTTTCCTCTGAACTTGGTACAGTCACTTCCACCTCATGCTTAAAGCAGAGACTTAGGAAGTCTTTCCAAGCGTCACAGATGTAGCCACTGTGTGCTTGAGGAGACCCCTGTAGAAAGCCACCAGCCTTAATGTCTTCCTTCTCCTACCTCACCTGTCATGGCAGGCCGAGCATCGGACAGGTCCATAGCACCTAGAAACACAGCTGCTCCCTACTAGGCCACAGCCAGGGAGCAGATGCTGGAAGGCCAGGATGCCCAAAGTAAGTATCTACAGACAGAGAGATCAAACTCTCAAAAATCATTTTTCGCTTCGGTCCCACAAGCAGTAGTCCATAGCTTCTCAGATGCAAAAGCCACACATAGCAAATACCCCTTGGCTCTGCCCATGGCCCAACTGCTCTTACCTATGAAATAAGCTTGAAACACTGTTGTTACCCTCTACCTCTCTCTAACCCCCGGGGTTAAGGTAGGGCCAGGTACCTAACGAAAAAGAAAGGCTTTGGAGAGAGCTTGCAAAGCAGTGTGCTATTTAGACACTGCTGCTGAGAAGGGTGATGCTTAGTCAGCATTCAGCCCCCTGGATGATGGAGGTTGATGGATCAGGCATAAACCTAGCCAGCTATTCAGTCCTCCTGGGGCTTCTCTGTCACAGCTACAGGAAGGTACTGTACACAAGATACCAAAGATGCTGAGTCTCCGACCACTGGTGACCACCTTGCTTGCCCCTGAGGAGAAGAGAGTGTTAAGAGGCACTGCAGGATATATAACCCTTGCTACACTTCTGGCCACCTGGATATAGACTAAACATTAAGACAGACAAACACAGATTTGCTGCTATGTGAACCCATTTACATTTTTGGCTTAGGCAAGTTAGGTCTGAGCTTCTAACACTTATGACTGAAGGGATTTCAACTATCTCTTGGTGTATTTTAATATTTAATGTATATTAATTTTATAATCATAAAATAAAGGTCTTAAGGGAAATTTTCTCGTTAAGAGTTCATTAAATTAGTATACCTATCTACAACGTGAAGAAACAGAAAAAGTACTAAACAGGAACGGAGGTTAATAATACCTGTTATTTCACTGCACTTGGTGTATTTGATTTTATGATATCATCAAACACATCCTTTTTCTTTTCTTTCTTTTTTTTGGAATTTTGGGGTTGGAAGGATTGGTTTGGTTTGGGGGTTTCTTTTTGTTTGTTTGTTTGTTTGTTTGTTTTGGGGTTTTGTTTCGAGACAGGGTCTCATGTAGCCCAGGCTGACCTATAACTTGCTATATAACTCAGGCTTGTCCTCAAACTCACAGTGATTCCAGGTGCCACTGCCACTGTTGCTGTGGCTACTCAGTACCAGACTCTGAATGTAGGCCTAAGGACCATACTGACCGACGTGGTACTACTAATTGCACTTGTACTAGCGGGCACTTGAAATGTGGCTGGTTCAAAATGAGATATGGGAAAGTACAAAACATGTGCTGTAATTCAAAAACACAAAACAAGGATATGAAAGCTCTTTCCTCTCTAGACTGATGGCATGCTGAAAGATAATATCTGTGCTATTTCCACCATCCTGAGTCACATCTATAAATGTTCCATGACTGAAAATCCAGTCCCCTGTTTGTCATTTTTCACCTTAGTCTACACATTCACTGGGTTAGGTCCAAAGTAGAGGCAACCATCCAGCATTAAGGGGTACCATTAGAACAAAGCACAACACACATGCACTTGGCCTGGTTACAACCTTACACAGGCATGAAGACAGGCATGGTTAGAAGTATCACAGGTGAGTCGGGATAAAGCAACAATTCCCCCTGCAGGGCCCCCCAGCAGCTGCACTCCCAGGGCTAAGTTTTGAACCCTGACACCCACATGGCCAAAGTGAGTTCTGATTTCTCCAAGTTAATCCTTTCCAAGCATGATGCTCCAGAAAGTCACAAGGATGATGGGGGAAGATTCCCAGGGTACTCTCACCTCCATGGAAACACACAATTGGGTTACTGTGTCTTTACTGAGGCTGCAAGAAAGGGAGCACCTGTCCCAAAGTCTTACAGCACCTTGGGCTCCAGGAGGAAGGAAATTGCCCAGGCCGGGTCCCTGTTGGCTTTGCCTCCCTAGGGTGGCAAGAGGGAAGAAAAGGAAAGAGGGCCAGGTGTGGCAGCACACACCTTTAATCCCAGGACTCAGGAGGCAGAGGCAGGCGGATCTCTGAGAGTTTGAGGCCAGCCTGGTCTATGAAAGAAAAGGTACAAGACAGCAAAGGGCAAAGAAGCACAAAGGTCACGTGGCCATGTTTACTCAGGGCAGGCAGACACACTCCCATGCCTCACGGGCGCCATTCTTTCTCCAGAAAAGTTCTTACTTTGTTTTACTTTCTCTCGCAGTGCTAAGGATCAAACTCAGAGCCTTGCACATGCAAAGCAAGCACTCTACCACTGAGCTGCATTCTCAGCCTCAGTAAACTCACTGTGTGGACAAAAGGGCAGCCAGCCTTACTGCAGACAGCCCAGGTCTCCTCATCGCTCCCATCACAGGCCCAGCTGACTTCCACAAGGCACTCACCGGGTTTTATTTCTAGCAGCCTCAACTTTGGGTCCTCTGGCGGGTGCAATCGTCTCTTCTTACGCCAGCAGCGGGCAGGGTATGTATACAGCTGGCCTGGTGCGAGGCCTGTGGACAGAGACAGTGTAGAGATAAAAGGCTACAGACCAGAAGGGACCTCACAAACTACCTTGCCTAATCTTGTCATTCATAGTGAAAGACAACTAAAACCCAGAGAGGTTAAGTGACTTGTCAAGATCACACAGCTGGACCATGGTAGAACCAAGGCATAATCTGTCATCTCACCCCAGACCGCTATTCCATCTGTTCCACCATCTCTTTAGCAGGCCTATGTCAAGAAGAGCCACTGCTTTTAGTAAATCCATTTCTTCCCTCTGGCCTTTGGAGTACACCAGATGAACCTTCAAACTCCAAGATGAGCTGCCCAGAGTTTACCTCAGTAACATGCTTGCAATGGCTCTGCAATGACCACTGCTCTGTACAGGGTCAGGTTAAGCAGGCTCCCATCAGGGCAAAGCAGCAGAAGTCAGTGAGCCTACCTGGGAGACAGCCTGCATTGGGAAGCATTTTAAGGACTTGGGATCAAAAGACCCAGATCTGCTCACTGGCTTCTCCCACCACTGTCAATCATTGACCATTGGCAGAGTCCAGAGGGAGACCAGGGCAACTTCACAGAGACATGAACACCCAGCTACATGGCCTGTGTCCCTGGACCTCCTGGCCCACATGTCAGGCCTCACACAAAGAAATGGGGAAGTGTGCTACACTGTCACCCAAAAGCATCTGTCATCTACCACCACCACCAGTATCACTGCCATGCCAAGCACCCATGGGGAACCTTCTAGCTCATCATCCATGCTCCTGTGATCCCTGTGGCAGTGTGGTAGCCAGAGACCTTGAAGGGAGCCTTCCATATTAGACAGACCCACAAAACCTATCCCAGAGACAAGGGCAGGGGACAGAGTCGGAGGAGAGAAGTCAGGTGCTTAAGGCTGGCGAGTCAGTCAATCTACAATCTTCTTCTTTTTTGGTGGGGGGGGTCTTTTTTGTGACAGGGTCTCCCTGTAGTCTCAGCTGGCCTGGAATTCCCAATGTAGACCAGGCTGGCCTTGAACTCACAGAGATCCACCTGCCTCTGCTTCCCAAGTGCTGGGATTAAAGGCATGCACCACCACGCCCGGCTTAATCTATAGTCTTGTAAGACTGAAATTTCTCCAAATAAACCAGTCAGTCAAGTGACCACCCCCACTGAAATAAAAAGCCCAGGAAGAGCAGGACTTTGCTGCCCTAGCCTTGTTAGAATCTCTAGAACAAGAACTGTGCCTGGCTTATAAAAGAACCTAACTCAGTATCTGTTGAATGAATAAATATGTTCCCATTGCATTCTGAGGTCGCAACTGTCTTTTGTAGATAACTGTATGGTGGCAGCTGTTCAAATGTGTGCAGTCCCATGTAAGAGCATGACTGCCTCCTCCTAGGAAGGAGCACAGGGATCAAAAACATCGCCACCCTGTTCGCATCTGCTGCCTTCTACTTTAAAGCCCTTAAAAGTTAAGAAGGGGCTGGGGAGATGGCTCTATGAGTAATAATGCTTGTTGTGCAAGCATGAGGACCTGGGTTTGGATCAGTAGCAGTCACAATAAAAAAAAAAAAAAAGTGGCATGGCCACTTGCACCTGTAACCCCAATGCCGAGCAGGAAAGTGACAGGAGGATCACTGGAACCCAGCTTAGTCTCAAGTTCAGTAGACACCCTGTCCCAAGGGAGTAAGGCAGAGTGTGACAGAGCAGGACATCTGAGGCCCTCCTCTGGCCTCCATGCATTGGTGCATGCATCCACATATACATGTATGCATAACACACATGTTAAGGGAATGGATATGGGGAGATGGCTCGGTGGGCAAAGTATTTGCTGCACAAGCAAAAGGACCCAAGTTCAATCCCCAGCATGCAAGGGCATATGCCAATAACCCCAGTGCTGGGGAGGGCAGATAGATGGCTCCTAGGGGCTTGCTGGCCAGCCAGTCCTGCCAAAACAGGAAGCTCCAGGTTCACCAAGTGACCTTGTCTCATAAAAATAAGGTGAAAATCAATACGGAAGACACTTCAGTTAACCTCTGGCTACCACACGCAGGCACACTTGCACACACACACACATCATACATCACACATATACCATACCAAAAAAAAAAAGAAAAATTTAAGATGGGGAACTGCTTTCAGCTTTTGCCTTTATGGAAAAATATCTACAAAAGCTCCACTGCTACTTCCTTTTTGCCTCTGTCCAGGGGTCCAAGATGTCGAAGCGAGGACATGGTGGGTCCTCTGATGTGAAATTCCATATTTCCCTGGGTCTTCCGGTAGGAACAGTGATCAACTGCGCCGACAACACAGGAGTCAAAAATTTATATCAGCTCTGTGATGGGAATCAAGGGACGGCTGAACAGACTTCCTGCTGCTGGTGTAGGTGACAAGGTGATGGTCACAGTGAAGAAGGGCAAACCAGAGCTAAGAAAGAAGGTCCATCAGCAGTGTAATTCAACAACGAAAGTCATACTGAAGAAAAGATGGGGTGTTTCTTTACTTTGAAGATAACACAGGAGTCATAGTAAACAATGAAGGCGGATGAAAGATTCTGCCATCACAGGCTCAGTTGCAAAGGAGTATGCAGACTTGTGGCCCACAATTGCATCCAATGCAGGTAGCACTGCATGATTCTCTGGTGTATTTGTAAAATATGATGCCCATTAAAAGTTTTTGCTCCAGGAAGAAGAAAAAAAGCTCTACTGCCATATATCCACTGGCTCATGTGTCAGCTTTACTCATCCACTGGGTTGGGTCCAAAGCATAGGCCACCATGCCAGTATTCAAGGACCCAAAATGTTGAAGTAAGTTTTTATGCTAAGTACTGCTCCAATCACACATCCACTGCTACTGGTTTCAGGACAGTGATTACACTGGAGGTTTGGATCCATGCCCCCTTTGAGCCTCTGTAGTTACTGAGTATGGAAGCTAGAAAGCTACTGCTTCGTGGGCTTCTGGGTCAGAAAAGGGTTCCACAGCTGGAAGGTCTAAGGACCAGACTGTGGCAGGTGTATAGAAAGCCAAATGAGTTGAGTAAGTAAGCTTGAACTTCCTGCTACGGAGGCTGGGGCAGCTGTGACGTCTCTGAGAGAAAGCATCCCGGGAAATAGCTATGTTTCTGCTGTAGTTCATTCCAACAACATGTCTTCTTTGGTCCTGTCATTTCTGAATAGATGCATTCACTCTGGGTCCCTTCCAGATGCTCAGACCACCTCTGGGGATAGTCTCCCAGGATCTTAGGGAGAACCCAAGTACTGGCCCACTCCTCCACATCACAGAACAGGTCCCATTTATCACCATCATTTGGGGTAGTAGCTCTGAACTCAGTTGAAATCACAATTACCTGGAGAACTTCTCGGAAATGCTAGTGCCCAAATGCATGTCAGGATCCTCTGATCTGAATGTAGGACGGCCTTTAAGAGAATTGGACAACTGTGTCTTAAGAACTTTATAGACTGTTTTAATGTCTACTGAGAACCTCTGGAAGTCTGAGCATCATCTACTTGCTGCTTGCCTATGTTCTCTGATGTACCAAACTGGCTTAATGATCTTTACTAGAGGATCCTAAGCCTCCTTGTATCTCCCCCAAGGTAATATAATTAATCACCTGCCTACTAGCGTCTCCTTGACTGGTCGTAAAAGATCCAGGATGGCAGAAATCATATCCATCTTGAGTGTCCCCAATATTTAACACACCAGGCTTGGCAAGCACACCTAGGAATAATTATCAAACAAACTCAACCAGAACTAAACAAGACTCAGAAATACAAGAACAACTGCTGGCCCTAGCTCCAGAAGGCTCATTTACCTAGACACAAACCATCCGATAAGAAGGGCTCAGTGGTAGAGACCTTACCTAACATGTGCAGGACCCTGGGTTTAGCTCTAGGCTCAGTTCTGAAACTACTCACATCTACATTACGGACTCTGTGCCATGGGTTTTCTTCTGTCCCTTGCCATTTCCTGGTATTTCTAACCTGAGCCAATGCTGGTGAGTGAGAAAAAGCCAGTTCCGGCCAGTGCTCTCAAAGGATCTAAGGAACCAGAATTTGGAACTGTCCACACTAGTCCGGGTCCTACATGCGCCTGGCACTCTAGTCACTGCCCAGCAGGGCAGTGGCACCTAGGCCATCCTGATGGTAGCTGTAGGCCCTCTCTTCTGGAGAGCTAAGGTTAGCAATAGCTCAAATGTCCAGAGGAGGGACTGCTTTTATTTTATTCTCTAGATTGGAGAAGCCCCATGGTGCAGCAGGAGAGCACATGTATGAGTGCTGGAAAGCATGACAGCCCCTATCTGAGCCTGCCTGTCACCATAATGAGGCATCCATGATGCTTACCTTGCAGGACTGTTGGGGGATTCACTGACATTCAAGAGGAAGCACCCTATAATAATGAAGACTGGGCAATCATCAGTTGTTGACCATCACAAGTTGCTGATACAGATGAGTCTTGGACCGTGTGCCTCGTGACAGCCTTACCCATGCCACTGCTTCAACCACCAGATGGAAACACACTTCTCTTTGAATTCTGCTCTGAATCCACCTTGTCTCAGCAGGTAAATGGCCCCAAAGAACTCTCCTAGAGCTAATCACCCCCTTCCTTGCCCTCATTTCCAAGCAGACAGGTGCCAGGGCTCCTTTACAGGACCAACACATTCCACCTTGGAATTACACTTATGGAGGGAAGATCAGAGCCTCATGAGACTTATGTTGTTTATCTCATTAGAACAGGAGGCACATAACTCAAAGGCCCATGTGTAGAGAAGACAGAGGGGGGGAGGAGGAGAAGGATGGAGCCCCAGCTGCTGTCAGGGAAATTAACCTTGAGGAGTGAGCCTGGGGCTAGGTGTGGATACTAACGAGGGGAAACAGGAGGCAGGAGATGAGAGGGGAACCAATCCTCCCTGGCAACCAAGGCCACAGCTACCCTTCCAGTCACAGACCCCTCTGTGCAAACTGCTGTTCTGTTGCCTGGAGCTACAACTCCATTTCCCACACTCTGCCTGTGTGAAAGCATGGGCATAACA